ATAACCATGTACCCGGATCGGAGTGGATTGGTGAGAGCTGGTTCATACTCCACATAGAGGCGACTTGATGTAAAAGGAGAGATGGGTACCTCAGGGCTGGCGCTGAGAGAGAGGGACGAGTCGACCACCTTGGCTCCTGGCATGCCATGTTGACCGATGGCTCGGGCAACTCGATCGACCTGATGATTGATAATCTTCCTCCAGCTCCGGGTGCCAGATTCGTCCAAATCACAGTCGACGACAACAACGCTGTACAGCCCGAGGGTCCTGAGTTGTGTCAGGGTCTTGGTGACTCCCCCAAGGATATCATCATCCCATAGCTGGGGCTTCCTGAACTTAACGATGGCGACGTGTGGCGCCTCGTCGGCCTCGGGTAGAACCTCTAGCACACCCTTGGTGGAGGGTTGGATGAAGCGGGGCGTCTTGCTGACAGAGGTGAAGCTATCTTGCAGGATGTTGGATGTGCTGGGTTTGGTGGTGCTGCTTGGGGACCCGAAGGTCTTCAGATATGCCTTTGCATCGCGCTTGGTTGCCGAAGACTCTAGGACGGAGATAAAAAATTCCTGCTCATGAGGGTGAGACACAGCGCATCAAGTCTGGCGTGAGCTACCAACTCACCCTGTCTTTGTCCCTCTTCTGCTTCTCAGCAGCCGCACTGGATGTGTAGCGGCATCTGATGGGTGTAGAAGCGCCGAGTGGACCTCGGTTCGGCTTTTCTTCAGCGAGAGTACCTGGCCTTCCTGGTGCCGAAGGAATTGATGTATGCTTAAGGCGGTGCGATGCCCTTCCAACCGATATCTGTGGACTGTTAGGATCCTGCTTCATGTTGGGGCTCTGGGGTTCTTAGGGGAGCGGTGAAGCTCAGTGAGCCGGGCCGTGATGAGATTTCAGGGATGTCTTAAGGTTGTTGTTCTCTTACTTGAGCGGTTGAGCCCGCCTTTTTCAAGGCAGCGCTGCGAGGTATCATAGCTCTGGGCTCATCTTGTTTCTCACACAGAGACGAGAGTCTATACAGCCAGCTCTGAACCTGGATATGGCAGCTCGAGGAATAAAGTTGGAGATGTGAATTGGATCTCGATAACCGGCATTGGGTTTCACGGTGTGTAAGTCATCCACTGACTCAATTGGGCCTCAGATAAAGGCCGATAACGCTGCCCCACAGGAGCTTCCATTCCAGTGGAGGGTTCCGGAAGCTGTTGCCCCGCAGCGCCTGTGGTTCGTCCCGTTGAGTTTCACCCTCTCCTGATTTGATCATGTTGTTCATGCTGTCTCCTGCCTTAGCTCTCAAGCAGTGAAACTTGCGGTTGGATTGCCAAAGAGTGCTAAGCAGAGAGGACTCCAATGTGTCATGAGAGACAGCGGACAGCCTATTTTCGTTCTTCGGCATCATGATGCAGGTGCGCTTAATGTGTATTTGCACGGAATACTCGACCTAGTCTAGACGCGTGTCTAGACTACGTATTGCAACCGGCCGGCTATGAAGGCAGGAAAGGGGTCCATTCTGGTCCGCCGAAAGGTCTTGGTCGTCATAGCTCCGGCTTTCCACGATATGTATCGGGCTTACTATCGTCCCCAATGCAGTACATAACCCCCTCATTCAAAGTGTCGACGCTGGTCTGATGATCGCCCAGTCACAGCAGTATAACCCAGGAGCTCTTGATGACTATAATCTTACCAAGGGGTCATAAAGCGCGACAAATCGAGAGCTACCCATCCGGAAATCCGTATTGTTGACTTACACCGACACTCCGAATACTGATCGCCCTCTTTATAAACTCCGTGTCCCGCAGTGGCCTCGAGACTTTAGTCACACCTCTTTTCAGAACAACACGGTCACAAAATGGCTCCCAGACTCTTCTGGATTGGCATTGGCGTCATGGGGAAGGTCAGTATTTCGGATCCCCCCCCCCCCAGAAGAAGGATCACGGCGACTAACACGATCCAGGGCATGACCAAGAACATAGTAGAGAACGCAAATCTAGACTCGCCCTTGATCCTTTATAACCGCACCAAACAAACCGCAGTCGAACAGAGCAACAAGCTACCGGAGGGCAAGTCCGAAGTCGTCGACTCGGTCCAAGACGGTGTATCCAAAGCCGACATCATCTTTACCTGCCTCTCCAATGACGCCGCCGTCGAGTCCACAGTTCTGGATGCGCTGAAGACCTCAGTCAAGGGGAAGCTCATCGTCGACTGCTCGACCATCCACCCCGACACGACCGAGAAGCTGACCAAGCTCGTCGTCGATGCCGGAGGCGAGTTCGTTGCCGCGCCCGTCTTTGGCGCCCAGGCAATGGCCGAAGCAGGGCTGTTGATCGGCGTTCTCGCCGGCCCCAAGGCGTCTGTCGAGAAGGTGCGCCCCTACTTCAAGGGCGTTATGGCGCGGGCCGAGATCCTTATGCTCGACGAACCTACTCGTAACGCCACGACGCTGAAGGTCATCGGCAACACCTTCATCCTGAACATGGTGGAGCAGCTCTCCGAGGGCCACGTGCTGGCCGAGAAGACGGGGCTGGGCACCAAGCACCTGCACGACTTCGTCGCCCACATGTTTGGTGGCCCTGTAGCGGCATACTCGTCGCGGATGGTCAGTGGTGATTACTACAAACGTGATCCTCCGGCATTCGCGGTGGACCTCGCGAGAAAGGATGCCGGACATGCCAAGAGCCTGGCTAAGGCTGCTGGAGTGACGATGCATAATGTCGAGACAGGAGATAATCATCTCAAGATTGTGAAGGAGCTGCGCGGGGAGAAGGGCGATTTGGCTGGTGTTTATGGCGCTGTGAGGCATGAAGCCGGGCTGCCGTATGAGAATGCTTGAAGCAAGGGCAGTGTGATCCATAAACGAGCAACATCTTCCAGCTTTGCAAAAAGATGCAGTGCCATTTTGTGAGGAAACAATAAGGAACCTGAGGTATGGACATGCCCGTCTGTTTGAGTGGTGGAATGGCGGAAGTTGCTCCCGGGTGCTCTGTAAGTCTGTACAGAAAACAAATGGAAGGAGCTCCCCGCCAAAACATGTGATGACCCACCCTAACTTAATTGCACGTAATCGCCTGCGCAGCTGCACGAGGCAACACAATCAGCATCACAACAAGCCGAACCCTACCACAAGACCTTCCCCGCACAAGTCAACAAACCGCAATCATGGACACCTTCAAGGGCTTCGGCAAGACCTTCACGTATGCTCCCACTTCCTCGGACATTCTCTGCGAACCTCTTGTGCGAGATAAGTATAGCTTGATCGCAAGGGGCTACTTCTCCACGAGGATACACAATGGGACGGACCGCAAGCTGACACGATGCCCTCATCAGTAACATCGGGTCGCAAATCACGCCCTTTGCCTCGCGTACCTTCCAGTACACCAAGGAGCAGCTCGGCCAGGCCGAAGACAAGGTGAGTCTTGGGCGCATCGATACTAGGCGGGCGGACAGCTTACTGACGGAGCTCGAACAATAGACCCAGCTCCCTCCTGACTACATCGACCTCGAGAAGAGAGTAGATGCTCTCAAGCAGGTTCACCAGAAGATGCTGGGAGTGACGTATGCTCCATTTCTCCTCTTCCCAAGCTTATCTCAACACCACTGACAGCCCGACCCCGACAGCTCCCACTACTCCCACGAAGCCTACGACTACCCTCCCAACATCAAAGAGACCTTCCAGGACCTCGGCCGCACCGTCTCGGAGAAGGTCACCCTCCTCTCCTCCGCCACCTCCCCCGCCGAAGCCCAGGCCGCCCTGACGGCCCCTCCCTCCGCCAAGCCCCAGCCCAAGACCTTCCCGCACGCCATCGCCCGCGCCTCCCTCGCCAGCTCGCAGGCCCTGCACCAGCAGCACGCCGGACCCGGCGAGGACCCCCTCGCCTCGGCGCTCGAGAAGTATGCCCTCGCCATGGAGCGCGTGGGCGAGGCCCGTCTCGCCCAGGACGCCCAGATCCAGTCGCGCTTCCTGGCCGGCTGGAACACGACGCTCAACACCAACCTCAAGTTTGCGGCTCGCGCCCGCGCCAATGTCGAGAAGGCCAGGCTGACGCTCGATGCGGTCAAGGCGAAGGTCAAGGGCACGACGTGGAAGCTTGGCGGCCCTGCCGGCGCTGCGGGGCCGCACGACGAGCCTGAGTTGAGCCCTGAGGCGCAGGAGGAGATTGAGAAGGCTGAGGATGAGTTTGTCACTCAGACCGAGGAGGCTGTCAGCGTGATGAAGAACGTGAGTGATATGTGCCCTATGACCCTATCAGAGAAACCTTTACTGACAGCGGTCAAATAGGTCCTCGACACTCCCGAGCCGCTGCGCAACCTGGCCGAGCTTATCGCCGCCCAGATCGAGTACCACAAGAAGGCGGCCGACATCCTCAGCGAGCTCCAGCCCGTCATTGAGGGACTGCAGGTCGAACAGGAGGCAAGTGCTGCTGAGGCGTTTTCTCTCCACTGAGACCGCTTCGCACCCTCACCACAACCCGCCACAGCCACGTGTTGCTGACATGTTCTGCCCTTGGACAGGATACGTACCGGAAGAGTCGCGAGAGCACGACTTAGATGCCACTATATCCGGATGAGATGCGAACAAGTTGACATGCCGCTGTTGTGGGCGTGCCACGAACGCTGGACGGGCCTGGATCTTCACATGAGAGCCGGACAGGCTGGGAGAAGTCGTTATTCCTCGACTGTATTTGCCTTTAGGCGCAATATGGACTACTTTTGGTGCTACATTTCCTTTGCTGTTTCCTTGTCTCGCCTTGAGTTTGCTCCTGCTCAGCCATGCTTGGACCATGTCTCTCGAGCTTTGTTATAGGGCACCCCGTTTCTGTGTTAGACAATTGATCTTATACCCTATCCACATCAACCCGACCTCTAAATCCACCCTGATAAATGATGAGTACTGACGAAGCGAACAAACCCGGTAAAATGAGAATCACGTCAGTAGAGTTAGGTCAAGAAAATACGTGTGCCAAAGAAGAAGAAATATCCAAAAGCATAGACGGAAAAAGCAAAATGAAATGTGGAGGAGCTGGGAGTCGAACCCAGTACCTCGTGCAGATAACATGTATTGTGATGATTTCTCACCCAAGTGGAAATGCTAAGCACGCGCTCTACCAGATGAGCTACACCCCCTGGTTGTTGTTGAATGCTGTGCTGCTATTCTGAATCATGTTAGTCAGTAAACTGAAAGTGGGATTTTCGGGGTGAAGGCCCACAATAACGTCGCATTTGTATGCGGCAATGTAAATGGCCGTTGTGACATTGCGATGGTGTACAAAACACTCCCAGCCACCCCATTCTCTACATACGGCCGTCTCGTTGTGTCTCATATCGTCAAACCGTTTCCATTGCGACGTATGACATGGGGATTGTTGGGAGAGTGAACAAACACGCAACCGAACGAGGCGCAGAATGGCAGATCTTCCTCCTTCACCCCCGCAAAGCACGACCAACGAATATCCTGAACAGATCAGCCAGAAGGAGATATCCTCGACCGTTTTCCCTCGGCCCCCAAAGTGGGAGAGGGTCTCAAAACTGTTCCTCGTCGGTTTCGTTGCGAGTTGCAACTGTAACCTCCATGTTTTCCTCCCAGGCAGAAATGTTACATCCTTGTCTGTGGAAGAGTCATAAAATGTGCTGTAGGCGCCCACCGCTGCTGTGCCGCAGAGATCCTAATTTCAAGCTCTTTTATCCCCTTTTCTGTTGTGAACCTGTGTGACGTCGAACGTGGGACTGTTGGTTGATTGGGTACATCGTGCCTTGGAAATTGGCATTTGGAAAAAACATATAACTGCCCAATCTGCCGACCGTGGAACGAGGGACGTTCAGGGTGGTTTCTTGATTCTGGTTGCGTCCTTCTTTCTCCTACCTGTGATTAGACGGATAACGCCCCTTTGCTCTACTCTAAGTCTTGAGATTACTTCCTCACCTTACTGTCACGAGAATAGTCGACGCAGCCATGTTGGCTCCCGTGGCTATTGGCTTTCGAGCCTTACAAGTAAGTGCCAACCGTGCTTCAAATTACATCAGTCCAGTTCACTCACACACTTCCAGCTCCTCATGGCCGCAGCAGTAGTCGGCCTCTCCGTCACCCTGCTCAAGGGCCAGGCAACGGGCAACACACCCACCACAACACGGTACAGCGTCTTCACGGGCGCCTTCGGCATGATCGTCGCCTTCCTCGGCCTCATCTGCCTCTTCATCTCCGCCATCCCCGCCATCGTGCCCATGGCCCTCGACGCCCTCGCCGGCCTCCTCCTGCTGGCCGGCGGCATCGCCTGGGCCGTGGGACTGAAGGGGATCCAGTGCAAGGAGGAGCATTATCAGAAAATGTACGCCAACCCGCTGCTGAACGAGGGGTGCATAGACGGCGGAAGCATCCCCTATTGCGGCGTGGCGGGCGATGATCCCAAGAAGGCGACCGACGCGGGTACGTTCAGGACGCTCAACGTGCGCTGCAAGTATGCCATGAGCGACGAGATTATGCAGTTTATCTTGTTTCTTGTGTCGGGCATCCTGTTGTTCCTTGGCTTCCTGCTTATGAGGAAGGGCAAGGGCGGTGGGAGGGGTGCGAGGTATGGCTAGGTCTGCTCGTCTGCTGTACCGGTAGTTCCCTAGAGATATCGATGTTGGGTTTGGTGTCCCCTGGGAGTCTTGTTCTTCCCAGGCGATGTTAGTTGACGGACGACGACTGTGATACGTGATTTAAGGATGTGGTAATGACAGAGGCGGGAAAAGGGATTTCCTTCTATCACCATGGCGTACTGGTGTTGGCAAGTCGCCATGCTTGTTACGGTCATCCTACTTCTTCAGCATGGAGGAACTTTGTGAGCGGCAGGGTTTTGACTTGCCTCCTTAATCCAACACCAATATACCAATCCTCTGGAGAACAGCATCGGCCAAAATTCACGATTCACGATTTTCAATTTCTTGACCGTTGTTGTACACTTGGTTGGAGATCTAGCTAGCATTTATCTTTCTGGTCTGGAATCTAGCTTCTGTATCAACATTCAACAATCACGACATCTCCAGCCGACAAGCTAAGCCTAGCACCCCTCGTACTCCCTTCTCCCTCCCTCCCCTTTCCCTTCCCCTTATCACCACCATCATCAACATCCGGCACCCCCGGCACCTCCACGCCCCTAAGCACATACTCCAACCCCGGGTAAGCATCACTAACAACACACACATCCAGCTTCCTCCCCTTGCTCCCATGTCCCTCTCCCTCTCCTCCTTCAACCTCAGGCAACTTGATCGTGGCCCGTCCGGTAGGTCTAGCTCCCACCCCGACACTCTTGCCCGGTCCCTGACCCCAGCCCACCCGCTTGACGGCGATGACTTCGTCCGCCACCAAGTCGCCGACGACGACGAACCACCCTTCGTTCTGCGGCTTGGGGAAGCGCGGCGCAAAAATGCGGCCCTCGCGCTCGGTGATGGGGTTCAAGCGACGCAGGGAGATGGCGAGGGAGGTGGTGGTTATCGACGGGATTGACACCTCCACGTTGGGGAGGGCGGCAATGGCTTTCGTGAAGCGGGGGATTTGGGGCGGTGCGAGGCCCAACTCGCGCGCGAGAGACTGGATGCGAGGGGAGGGAAGTTTGGAGACGTCCTGCAGGGTGAGCTTGGACTTGGTGCTGGTCTCCACGCCTGGCAAGATGGAAAGCGGTGGCTCCGTCGGCCAGCGCGCGGATTTGATGCACTGCAAGAGACGGATGAACTGCAGCGTGCTGGACAAGAAGCCGAGCTCGGTCACAACGTCGATGGAGGCCTGTATGATACGGATCGCCTGGTCCAGCACGCTGGTCTGGTCGCCTACGTAGTCCGTTATCGGCAGGTCAATGCGGGACATGTGCGCTTGTAGTAAGAGGAAGGCTTTCACGTGGGGATCCCACATGGGCAGACCGAATGCCGTGCCCGGCAAGGGTAAGTTGCGTGACAGCTCGGCGTTGATGAGGTCCTCGTTGTGGCGGACTGGTAGCTCGTCGTATTCGGTGGCGCGACACATCCACGATAGTGTATCTTGGAAAGTCGCCCCGGCCTTGGCGTGCCGGACGAGGTGCCGGATGGTCTTGTGGGAAAGGTAATAGTAGCTCATTATCTTGCCCATAGGGGTGGGGTCGACATCGCCGTTGGGGTAGACCTCTACGCACTGCGATTCTGCGAGCTCGCTGAGAGACTTGTTGACCATCTCGATCATGAAGTCGTTAGCGAGTTGCTGGGCCATGGTGGAGTTGTGTTCCTCCGCGCTGATCTCGAGCCCGTAGTAGGACGGGTTCTTGTGCAGCCGGCGGAAGAAGAAGGTCCAGGTTAGATAGTCCAGGGCGTCTTGTTTTGTGATGACGGTCTCGGCTGACACCTCGGCGCAGAGATGGTTGTCGAGCACCGTGTGCAGGGAGGACTCGACGGGGAACCCTGTGTGCAGGAAGTGCTTGTAGAAGTCCTTCTTCGAGTCCTGCGTGAAGATGCGGGCTACGCCAGAGTTGTCGAACTGGGGACGCCCGGCACGACCGAGCATTTGAAGTACGTCGGTGAGGTCCATGTCCTTGTAGCCTTCGATCTTGGCGTCGTAGAACTGGGTGCCCTTGACGACGACAAGGTGGGCGGGGAGGTTGACGCCCCAGGCGAGGGTGCTGGTAGCGATAAGGATCTGGATCTTATTGTTCAGAAACAGCTCCTCGGCGAGCTGTCGGTCGGACTCGACGAGACCGGCGTGATGGAGGCCGATGCCGAAGCTGATGGCTTCCTTGAGAGCGTCGTCCTTGACACAGGACAAGTTGAGCTGCAGATCGTCCTCATCCATAGTGAGGAACCGCCTCGGGTTGTCTTCCATGCCGCAGAGATTGATGAGGTCCTTGGCCGTAAGACGAGTTTGACGACGCGAGGGGACGAAGACAATCACGGGCTTGCTGGGACTGTGGTTCTTAATGGCCAGGAACGTAGGCCTGTTCATGGACTGCATCAGCGGACAGAAGCCTCTAACTTCTGGGAATCCGTCAATGTACAGCTCCAACGGGACAGGGCGAACGGAGTGCCTGAAGTTGAATAGACCCTCCTTGACACCGAGCCAGTTGGCGAGATCGGTGGCGTTGGCGCAAGCCGTAGACATACCGACCAAACGCACGGAGTTCTTGATGGACGCCGCGATGTAGTTCATACGGGAGACGATTATCTCCAGAATAGGACCACGGTCACCGGCAAGGAGATGGATCTCGTCGATGATGACCAGGCTGACCTTGCGGACGTAGCCACGGGTCTGCCAACTACGAGAGATACCATCCCACTTCTCGGGAGTGGTGACAATGATATCCGCGTTCTGGATGGTGCGCGTATCAGGCGTGTTGTCACCGGTCAACTCTACCAACTTGAGACCCATGGGTTGCGCAAGACGCTTTCCCCAGTCCTTGACACGCTCGCGGACGAGTGCTTTCATTGGTGCGATGTAGACAACCTTCGAGCCCGGCCGTTCACGGAAGGCCCACCACATAGCCAGCTCGGCGGCGACGGTCTTTCCACTACCTGTTGGCGAGCCGAGAAGGACGTTCGCAGATGTGTGATAGAGCGTGTGAAATATCTGTGTCTGCATAGGGTTGAAGAACTGGAATCGCTGGGCGTAGAGCTCCTCCAGGGCGGGGTTCTTCAAGGCCGAAACAGGCAGCGGTTGCAGGTTCAGCAGGTCAGTGTAGACGCTCTCCGTGTCTGGGCGGATGAGATGCTGGAAGGAGACGGGAGTTACGGTCTCAGCGCCCAGCCACCTGTCAGAAACAGCTCGCACGTAGATCTGGGTGGGCAAAGGATCCGACAGCGGGATGGTGAAGCTCAACTCGTGGTCATCATGGAGCTTTCGCCTGTTGAGAATGAAGTACTCGTGGTGGTAGATCTCCGACGTCTCCGAGTTCTCGACCCAGATGTAGTACGACTCGGAATTGCCGTGGACATGGTCGTTCCAGCGGAAGTCGGGGTAGACGAAGAGCTTGATCCGCAGAACATCTCGGTTCAGAGGCGCGATCTCGGCTTCGATGCTGACCGTAGGGAAGTTGCTCAGCAGTTTCGCAATCTTACTGCCCTGTGCATGGTTATGGACGAGGCTACCGATCTCTCCGGCTTCCATGTCTCGCATGGACTCGATACTCAAA